GAAAAAGTAGTGTGTAAGACTTGGGAGTGTTAATATCAGAGGATCTCACCTTCAAGGATCACAACAGTGTCACTATCACTTCTACAAGGAAAATGATAGTATGGATGATGAGAACTTTCAAAACAAAGGACGCCATGTCAACGATGATCCTATTCATATCAATTGTTCTCTATAGGCTGGAATGCTGCTATACACTGACAGCTCCATTCAATGCAGGTGAAATTGCAGCTCTAGAGAATGTACAGACAACCTTCCCTGTACATATAAGTTCAGTTTAGCACCTTAATTACTGGGAAAGTTGGAGTCTCTTGACCTGCACTTCCTGGAGCGCGGACGAGATACCTCATAATCTATGCCTGGAAAATCCCAGAGGGACTGGTCACAGATCTGTATACAGAAATTAATTCTTACGAAAGCAAACGACTTGACAGATGATGCATTAGCTCCCCCAAGTAAAAATTTGGTAAATTTATGCTAGATTAATTCAGAAATAAATATAGTAATTGAGTTGTAAGTGTGTGCATACACTGAGAGGTGGAGTCAGAGAACATGAGGAGGAATATATACTGTAATATTCCTTTACTCTTATGCTCCAGTCCTGGTAGGCCTATTTTAATGAGTCTTTTCTCGTTTTTCTCGCATATAACTTGTTTGCATGTATTTGAGCAAAATGTTTCTTGGTCACTAAAAAACTCACTAAACCCTCTTATATCCATCCTAAAATCCGCACTGACCATCATATACATACAACAGAAGGGGGAATGTGAAGTATGCATATTCATGATGTTTGGACAGTGGCTGCATCAGGACGATCACTTGACAGCGAGGCTACCGAGTCAATAATGGTACTAATGGAAGAAGTAAAGTGTTGTGATAGCCTTAGTAGAACTGGTGGTAACCACAAGCAAGACTGCTGGTACACACAACTCTGTGACTGGCAGTTAAGTAATACCAGTGTTGAGATAGAAACATAACTTATTTAGTACGGTATGGTAGATTTTCTCCCTTCCCCTTTCTTTTGTTTTTACCCAGGCAGTGACTAGAAGGAATGGAAGGTGGGGAAAGAGCATTCGACTTTCTATTCTTGTCTCATTCATAGATTATGCATGAGACCTCAGGGGCCTTGTTATGTTTTTTTTTTATTGTCCAATTTCTTCCATTTTTTTTTTTTGAGAATTTAAGTATGCGTAATGGTGATTAAAAAAAAATTTCATGAAAATTTGAAGAAAAACAAAAAAAATTCAAATAGGTTTTTTGTGAAGTGGCAATGCTTATCTGTGTATCTATGGATAGTTGCACTGACAATATTGTTTTTGTTAGTGGTACGTTACAAAGAATTAGCAAATCGTTTTTTTTCTCTATGATTAGAAAAAATATAGTAGAATTCTCTCTCTCTCTCCTCTCACCCCCAAAAAATAGAGATGGTATTTTGTCCCAGATTTCCACCCTGACCATCAAAAAAATTAAAAAAAAAAATAAAAAAAAAAACCTGCCTCTTACCACACTATAATAATAATAATAATAATAATAATAATAATAATAATAATAATAATAATAATAAATCTTTATTTCTACAAATATAGTTACAAGGTATACAGGCCTAGCTGACATCAATAACAAACTACTATATAGAGAGCCCCTTGTCATGCCTAATTCAATTAGGTCTATTTTGTTCCCAGGATGCGAACCACACCATTCGACTAACACCCAGGTACCTATTTTACTGATAGGTGAGCATAGACAAGCAGGTGTCTTAAGGAAACACGTCTTAATGTTTCCACCCGTACCGTGGGACCCCGGAATCAGTGTGTGAGCTAAGTGCACTAGCAACCGAGCTGTGCTCTGAGGCAGCAGGTGGTACTGGGGATCTTAAGAAACGGTTATTTCTCTTAAGATCGTAAGTATGTATTCCTGTGCAATTTATGCATCACTAATACAGCTGTTACCTGTTTTGATTACGTGGAACCTTATGCTTCAACGTAAAGTCAAACTTGTTCTCTCACCATCCTTTAAAGCCTTTTTGGCTTATCATCTAAGTAACACTTGTCATGGTGGTAAACGCAGTGTGTGTGTTTCTCTTCCTCAGCCCGTTTGTTCTGATGGAACCATCAGAACAGAAGCGCTGACAGAACTACATGCTCTGGGAAAAATTCTTGAATAATCTATTCAAATTTATATTGCATTTTTGGTTAATGCTACTATAAGTTTGACTCGCTGTTTGAGCTGTTTCTTCTCTACTGACTCGTCGCCTTTAAGATCATAGCTTGAGTGACAATAGCATAAAATAGTTCGCTCATGTCAGCATGTTCAGTTCCACTACATCGTGTTGCCCCGCGGCTCACATTTGTCTCCTGTTGCTGGTGACCAATATATATATATATATATATATATATATATATATATATATATATATATATATATATATATATATATATATATATATATATATATATATACATATACATATATGCAAACAGTCGCAGACAGGCGATCTTGATAATGCAAGACAAGCCACGGAGGGTGGAAAACTTTAGCTCAAGCACTTTCACACTTATCAGTGCATCATCAGGAGCTGTACAAAGCTATAAAGGAAAAACTGAAGGAGTGAGGGGAGGTTTTCTCAGAGTAGCGCAGTGCGGGTTTGTCACCTACCACAGAATATCTAGGAATGTGAGCCAACAGTTTGGTGCCACCCTGCACCACCACCATCCCATCCTCCCCATCTGGGGAGGATAATACTCCATAACCCACTACTAAACACTAATGATACACCATAACCCACCACTAAACACTAATGATACACCATAACCCACCACTAAACACTAATGATACACCATAACCCACCACTAAACACTAATGATACATCATAACCCACCACTAAACACTCGGGGACCAAGTCAATAATATGATAATTGTGCAGTGGCGGGCACATTAAAAACCTATTTATTTATGCAACTTATTTATTTATGCAGCACAAGGTGATAGCCAAGCATTATTTTAATAAATTCTACCGACTCTAAAAGTTTGAAACATATAAGACAGCCTCCAGTAACTGCTCTCATTCTAACATTTCAATTTTCTAATTTCCTTCACATTTTAAATTTGCACCTGCACAGTCTAAATTTACATGGTGTCATCTTTTTAATAAATTACATGAACAATACCGTTTTAAAACCAATGAGATGTGTTTTTTTAATTGATTCGAAATCGTTTTCACAGTTTTTTAAATAAATTAATAACAAGGTGAAGCTTACTTTCTGGAAGTCTATCAGCACTAAATATTTAAATGTGATCAGAAGAGACCTTTGCAAGTTATCGTACTGATGCCAATTATTCCAGTCTGGTTACTTACAAATTTGCCCGGGTTCATACTAAACTCATTGGGTATTATCTCGGCCATATGATGTATCAGGCATTAAATGCTGAATATGAAGATGGAGACCAAAATTTTTCAAACATGAGATATTGGAAATAGGATTTTTTTTTTCAATAATTTAGATATAAAATTGGCAAGGGGGCACCTACAAACAGATCTGTTTGTGACTTAATAAAGTCCACTGTGTGGGCGATACGTTGTCAATAAAGGCTCACATTATACTGCATATGTGTTTATATTTCCATACACCAATTGTACCATACACCAGCACTGGAAGAACTCGGCCGATCTCGTGTTACGTTCACAATAAAAACGTGAACTCGAGAGGAAGGGAAACGATTTCTGGCATCCGCTTGAAGGTCGTCCTTCACAGACACGGAGTTAATGAGATATAAACTGGGTATTAAGGACAACCATCCCGGCTGTCACATGACACAACAACCAGGCTACTGCCAGTAAAGGAATTTCTAGTAACAAACCAGAACGATATTTCTGGGGGTCAATGCATCCTCATAGGAGGTAAACAGAAGGGTAAAGGTTAAGAAAAATTAAAAATTCTTAAAACTTATATTGTTTGGTTATGTTTCCAAGTGATTTTGTTACTAAGTTCAGGCAGTTACGCGTAGAAACTGAAAGTTTTTGAAGTCAAGTTTTTTCATGAATCCAAATTTTATTTTTTATTTCCTCTGTAAAGCATTTCTGGAATGGATCTTTGCTTTCATTTCATTCCAACAATTTTCAGTGAGATTCAGGTCAGAGTTGTTTCCTGCAACTGGATAACAATATTATTAACGTGCCATCATTTCTTTAACTGTTTTGACATTTGGCGCAGGACACTGTCTTGCATAGGTATATGGTTTCCATGAATTCTGTGTAACGTGAAAAAAAAAATATTCCTTACGCATATTGACTATATGTATCGACTCCACAAACCATATTGGGTCGCATGCGACTCGACATCATTTGCAGGTTAAGTATCAGTGGTGCGATACTTGTGTAGGATATATATTATGTACCAATACCATTTATATACAGGATCCCTCTGTACATCATATATCACGTGACTTCCTTTTTGAATCACACACGCTAGGCCACAGGCCTAAGTTAGACTCCGGGAAAAAGTCGGAGGCATCAACTCTAGGAACCGTCTGTGTGCATCAATATACTATCACAACAGCAGCCTCTACTCTCATTTTTATCTGTGACTTTATTATCCAGGTTCGGGCCAGTAGGCCAGCTGTAGTGTCCCTCCATTCTTTTATTCTTAAATTACAGAAACTGGTAGCAAATGTAAAATTTATCACTCTCCATACTCAAAGCTATGTCACCCATTACTAATATATCTATCCAACCCTCACATGCGCATTAGCAAGTCTTCACACACACACCACCACCACCACCACCAACCACCACCAACCACCACCAACCACCACCAACCACCACCAACCACCACCACCACCACCACCAACCACCACCACCCACCGCCACCACCACCCACCACCACACACCACCACCACACACCACCACCACCACCAACCACCACCAACCACCACCACACACCACCACCACACACCACCACCACGTCTACAGTTCTATATGCTCAGTGCTTGTTCTTCTCCTGCAGGTGCTCTACAATGGGATTGAGATCCTGCGGGAGGCCCAGATGGACCCAAAATCCTCCAAGGTGTATGGCGTTGAGTGGGAGTGCTCGAGCGAGTTCGACGCCACCAAAGACGTGGCTATCAGCTTCATCAGGCCCGGGGCTTATGTGGCCTTCCAGGACTCATACCCCAGGACTGGAGGATCTATCAAAATGGAGATCAAGACGCAGTCACAACACGCATTACTTTTCTACAACACCGGACCGCCTTCCAGGTAACTGGCTAATCCGTCAAGTCCTGCAATGCTGAGCGAGATGTCCGTTTTAAAATGCCCGGAAATATTGTTATTTAGTAACCTCTCACTGGATCTCTTAGTTTAAGTATGCTTGCGGCGATCGTAGTCTGTGTATTGAAAAATATTAAAATTAAATTTTTGTATGTATTTTGCTGATTGAAGGTAAAATCCCGTGTACTGAGATTGGAATAACATCCCACACAATTATGAATGAAGGTTGAATCCAGTGTGTTGTGATAGTGGAGACGGAAAGTGCGTTGAACAAGAAACTGTAAGTATTAACTTTATTCAAGTATTCCGTAGCTCGATCGCTAGCGTACTCGGCTCACACACTGAGGTCCGGAGATCGAATCTCTGGTACGGCTAGAAAACACTAGGGATGTGTTTCCATAGGACGCTTGCTGTCCATGTTCACCTATCAGTATAATGGGTACCTGGGAGTTAGTCGACTTGGTGTGAGTCGCATCCTGGAACAAAACTGACCGAATTTACCCGAAATGCTCAGTATAACCAGCGGCTTTCTATACAGAAGTATATCATTGATGTCAGCTAGGCCTGTATACCTTGTATATTATCACATTATCCACTCAGTAGTGAATGTTATTTCTCTCTCTCCTTACATGCAGGTCAGACTTCATCGCTCTAGAGATTTACGAGGGCCACCTCAGACTGATCCTCGACAAAGGCAACGGTGCTACCGGTCTCAATAGGTACATTCACTCATTTTTTATATTCATTTGTTTTACCAGTTTTAATATACACAGCATTATATACATTTTAGAGATTTTCTTAATATTTTTGATGAACATATGGAGGAAAACTGAGCATTTTTATGTTAAGGAGCAACTGTTTGTTTTCCAGGGAATTAAAACCTTATACATTTAAACTGAGATCAAATTCTTATTTGCTATAATTAACAAAAAAAAATTCATATAAATTAAATTTGGTATATCGTCGCTATTTTTCTCTTCCAGTCAACAAATCCGTTCTATTAATTGCAATACTAATTTTGAGTAAGGCACAGTTGCAACATGTTGCATATGAGTCTTACTCATCTACTTTTCGGTATTGTAATCATTTTCCTTAGTTTAATAATTCTATTTTTCAGTCTATTGCTTTAACATTTGTATTCATAAGAAAAAAAAATGTATATTTGTTTTCGTTGAATTTCGTGAAATTTTGAGGAATTTCATCTTTCAAACCCATTTAGTGTTTCATGCAAACCATTCTTGAAAAGTATATAAATAAGAGTATAGAGGTTTTCGTTTCATTTATGGATTTGGAAAAGACATTTGAGAGGGTGGATAGGGAAGCAATGTGGCAGATGTTGCAAGTGTATGGAATAGGTGGTGGGTTACCGAAAGCATTTAAGAGTTTTTACAGGGATAGTGAGACTCAGGTTATGTAGGAGAGAGGGATATTATTTCCCAGTAAAATTAAGCCTTAGATACGTGATGGTTGTTCAATATATCTGACTGCGAGGCCTGGTCATGGACCTGGCCACGGGGGCATTGACCCCCGAAACCCTCTCCAGGTATACTCCAGGTATGGGGTAGTAAGAGAAATGAATGCTCGGGTATTGGGAAGAGGGTTGGGATTAAAAGATAAAGAATCTAACACAAAGTGGGAGTTGTCACTGTTGTTTTTTGCTGATGACACTGTGCTTTTGGAAGATTCTGATGAGAAGTTACATGGGTTGGTGGGCGAATTTGGGATGGTGTGTAAAAGAAGGAAATTAAACATAAACATAGGAAAGAGCAATGTGATGAGGATAACTAAATTTTTAGATAATGAAAAATTGGATAACAGTTTGCAAGGAGGGAGTATGAAGGAGTATGAAGGTGTTGGAGATGTCGTGTCTGAGGGCAATGTGTGGTGTTAATGTTATGCAGAGAATCCATAGCTTGGAGATTAGGAAGTGCGGAGGTTCTAAAAGTATTGTGGTTCAGACATTTAAAGAGGATGAAATACAATAGAATGAAAGGAAGAGAAGGCTGAGTAAAGTTCGTCTTAGGGAAGGATGCAGGGAGGGGGATAAAGGTTTTGTGTGCTAGTTGCTTGGGCTTCCAGCAAGCATACGTGAACGTGTTAGATAGGAGCGAGTGGAGGCAATGTTTAATATAACTTGACGTGCTGTTGGAGTGTGAGTAAAGTAACATTTATGAAGGGATTCTGGGAAACCGATTAACCGGACTTGAGTACTGGAGATAGGAACTACAGTGTCTGCTCTCTGAAGGAGATGCGGAGATATGTTACAGTTTTGAAATATAGTGTCGGGGCGCCTCTGGCAAGACAGTGATCGAGTTATAGTGAAAATGTTTCATTCTTTTTCAGGTCACGCTGCCTCGGTGGGAAACGGCCGAAATGACAATAAAAAAATGATATATACCAGAACTAACTTAGAAACCTCACCTAACCTAATTTAACCTAGAGTATTTTTTTTTTAGCTAAATTAGGCCTGGATTATAACTGGATCCACCGCAACGCCCCCAGGCCTTGCGGTGGATCAGGGACTGATCAACCAGGATATTACTGCTGGCTGCACGAAAATTGACATAGGAACCACAGCCCGGTTGCTCAGGAACTGACTTTAGGTACCTGTCCAGTTCCTTCTTGAAGACAACGAGGGATCTATTGGTAATCTGTTTTATGTGTGCTGGGAGGCAGTTGAACAGTCTTGGACCCTTGACACTTATTGTATTGTCTCTTAGCATATTTACATAAGAACATAAGAGCGGAGGAATACTGCAGTAGGCCTGTTGGCCCATACTGGGCAGGTCCTTCACAAATCTAACAGCTGGAGTTGGAGCTTTTTGCCATCTGACCGAGGCCTTCTACTGGCCCACTCATCCACCCCTCCAAAAATCAAAGTCATAATTATAACTATTACAGTTATCACATAGCGATAAATGTAACATCACATTCATTAACTTCTCCAGAACAAAATACTTTTGTACAGAGACAGAAAGCGAGTGTATATAGACTTTACACAGAAACAAAACATGGAAACCTTCCCGAGTGAGACACAGACATCTTAATGTGTGTCACAGGATTGTCCAGTAAGATCATGTATCATTGGATCATGTATCATTGGAAGAAGTTTGTAAATACATGTGAGATGTGTTCGTCTCCAAGCACGCGGGGGGGATGGAGGGGAAGGAGGTACCTTGATGCTGATGAAGGGCCCTTGATTCAAGGAACTGAAGCTACTCATCCCTTCTGTGTCTCAGACCTGATTACTCCCTGCCCCTCCCATGCCTAAGGTGATAAATGACCCTTACGTGTTTAGTGTCTCTACATTTATTATTACTAGTAGTATACCTGGAAACACCTATATAAATTTTCATATTCTGAGAAGAGATTTTAAGAGATATAAATGCATACTACAAGAGACTGGGTTAAGAGACATGGAGAAACAATATTTTATCTTCATAAGTACGAATTTATTTTTTCAAAAAAACCGGCCGCATCCCACCTAGTTACGGTGGCACAAAAAACAAATCACATTCACCATCATTCGTTCACAACAGCTGTCTTGCCTGAAGTTAGCAGATATCACAGTTCAGATGATTACCTAACCGGAACATCCTCACCTCAGAGTGCAGGCACTGTCAGGAGTATTCAAACGTATTAATTTTAGCCTTCGTATAAAGCTGTGTCACACCGGTTTTATTAATAGTTTAAAACACAGATATTAAGTTTAATGTCAACCCGTTTAGAAAATGTAATACACGAAATGTTTTTCCACGCTGAGCCCGGCAGAATAATGAACTCTTCTGTACTTCCTGTACGAACACAATGTTGGGGGTGAGGGATTGGGAGGATGGAGGATAGGTGCCTTTCTCTTGCTCTCTCTGCGTGGATAGTAGATGCGTCTACTTCCTACTATCACAGCTACATTAATTAAAACTATCACAACTACATTAACGAAAACTGTCACAACTACCCTAATCAAAACTACATTAAAATCTATCATAGTTATACTAATCAAAACCATCACCAATACACAAAAAAAAACTCACAACTACATTAAAAGTATCGCCACTACACTAAACTATCATAACTACACTAAACAAAACTATCACAGCTACATTAAACAAAATTATCATAGCTACACTAAACAAAACTATCATAACTACACTAAACTAAACAAAACTATCACAACTTCACTAAACAAATTATAAATACACATATATACACACAAAACTGTCTCGTCTACACTAAACAAAGTAATCACAACTTTACTAAATAAAACTGTATCTACTACATTAAACAACGTTATTCCAACTTCACTAAATAAAACTGTATCTACTACATTAAACAACGTTATTCCAACTTCACTAAATAAAACTGTATCTACTACATTAAACAAAGTAATCACAACTTCACTAAATAAAACAATCTTACAATTTATATTATATTGACGGCAATCGGTATCTTCTTTTCTCTTTAGATCGTTAATTCAGTTATCTTCACAATGGAGATGTATCGTGTTTTCATGGAGGAGACAAGAGGCTTATATAATTTTGAGGTAAAAAGTATCCTATCGTCAACCCCTCGTCCTCTGGGTCAGCGATGTACCCTGGTTACCAGCGATGAGTTCCAGTAGATGAAGGAACTGGAGAGAGGACATGGGTGCGCCATTATGATACTTTTCTAGGATGATGGTGTAGGTCATGTGGTGGGTGTCTACCGTCACTGGGACGGTGACCATATCTACTTTGACTCGAACGGTCGTCCATATTATGAGTGTGTTGGAAATTACTTGAAGCTCAATGGAATAAAAACTGGAATTAAATATGTTGGTCGCACACTATAGCGATGTGGTTCATGTTCCTACCACATCCTCACATTTCTTGATTATGTCACTAGCTGTGTTTATCAGAATTCTGACGATGTTTTGAAAAATTATGTCAAGTACATTTCGTCGGCTCCTGATATGACTGCAGTTCTCAATGTAAGATCGATGTTGATGGAATTCCCCAACAGAATTAATGTATGGACCACAGATCCTGATGGCAGTTTAGCACAAGACTTTGCTCCGCCTTCAGCTAAGAAAACCAAAGTTCTCCGACGTCGTCGTTACATTAAACGTCTGGTAAACAGGTGTGTTACTCAGAGAAGGTCCCCAGGCATCCTCAGCAGTGATGTAATACACCGGTTATTACAAGAGAACCGTTTGATACTGAAAACCTTACGCAGCAGAAATTGATTTATTTCATTTAACTATTTACAGCACGACTGGAAAGTGTGCAGAGATTGTTGACTCTTCATTTCCAATAAATAAAAACATAAACCTACTTAGGATGAAGAAGATATAGAGTTATAAGAACAAAAATAATTTTTATGTATGTAAATAAAGTTTTGTTTTAGTTATATTTAATAATTTACTTTTTATGAAGCCTATGCTTTTCATTGGAGGAATGTAGCACCGCCTACCAAGTCTTTTGCTTTTGTTGCGAGTGATTTCCGTCTGCAGATTTGGGACTAGTCCCTCTAAGATTTTCCAAGTGAATATTATCATAAATGTTTCTTGCCTACATTCCAAGGAGTACAGGTCAATGGACTTCAATCGTTCCCAGTAATATAGGTGCTTTATTACACTTACACATGCAGTAAAATTCTCTGTATATTCTCCAGGTCTGTAGTTATGTCTACCTTGAAGATGGCCGTTTGTGCACAGCCTAGAGAAAACAAGTGATTTGAAGAG